AACAAAATATCTCCCGACCGATCAATTACGCATCTTCATCCGCGCGGGACGACCACCTGATCGGTCAAGGCCAATGATCGCCGAGACTGCGAAAGCCAGCCTGTAGTGAACCCGACTCCGCATAAAATCGCGGGAAATACAACGACGCAGGTATGCATAATGTGGGAGCGCTCACATTAGTTTTAAATGCGTGCAGCTCGCCCCATCGTTTTGCAAGGTCGTTAGGAGTGGGGGCAGGGATACCGTGCGCTCGGCACTGGTTCAGCAGGGATACCGTGCGCTCGGGACTGGTTCAGCAGCGAGTAGTGTGCGGTGTCTACTACAAATGCTCTTGAAACGAGAGGCGCGAGAGAATAGGTGTTTAGCTTCTACCAGCAGACCGTATGTAGCAACAGCGTGGCAAACGCTTGAGTGATGTGATACTGTCGGCATTTACTGTGAAGCGTCACGAGAAAGGGAGCCAATGGCCCGTGCCCGTTGACCGGAGCGAGCGCGTAGAAACTGTGGGGGAGAGGGCAGAGCCACCAAGGGCTGGTGCTCACATGTCTCGTGCCAAACACGCACCAGTTATATCACATGTAGAAATGACACTTTGTGGAACATGTGATGGGGATTTCCAGCTATAGACACAACATGGTATGCAGCCAGATCCAGACGGCAAAAGTGACATGCAGAGGTTCACGCATGAAGGCAGATAACGATTTTCGAAAAAAAGAGCTTATTATACACTGGGGCGGTGACGCATTCGTTGTTACCAGGCCTTAATTGTGATTCTTAAGCTTGACTTGATTTGTGATAGTTGTGAGTGCAGATAACCCATCACGCGTCTAATGCGTGATCAGGCTTGTGTTTGAGGAAGATGACTGCACGGCTGACGTGTGGCTAATCGCGAAATATATTGTATTGCACGTTGCATGCTGTTTATCCACTTTTGTGACGTTGATGGCCCATGCTAATGGTTCGACTGCCAGACGGAATTATTTCTTTTTCAGCATCCTTTGCCTCCGAATGCAACGACAGCAGAGATGTTATTAGCCAAATGACAACAATATTGCAAAGATCATCGACATGATGTGCAATGGGAAGATAGACATTCGTATAATCTGTCGAAGGTCCACAGCAACGTGAGAACACCATCTGCACTGGTCACCTAGAGCACCCCAACCCCCCATATCGCACAAAGCGCAGAGAACCTAGCGTGCAAGTTGTGCGACCTTTGCTTGTCTGTCATCAAAAATAACATTTATATATATATATATATATATATATATATGTATATATATATAGGTGTTGTAGGTTATAGGGAAGGTTTGTAATGTATGTAATATATATATATATATATATATATATATGCATGTTGTCAGTACATTTTTAAGGGGTAGCAAAATACAGGCACCTTTAATTCTTTAATGAGGGACCGCAAGCAAACAAATGCAAGGAACCATTGATTCGCTGAGTTGAATGATGCTTGTCACATTCAAGTGGGGTACGCTCTTGTTCAATCGTGCATACCCTAATCCACATACCTAAATGCATACGCACCTACATACATACCATCCCGCCTCTACGCTCTACTGCCAGCTGCAACCTGCAACAGCTCCAATGTGTGGACCTTCCACGCAGCACGAAAACCCGACGCCGGACCAGCTTAATCATACCTCACTTCAGTGAGAACAGAGACGAGAGACATGGCCAGCACGTGGTTTCTCCGGTCCCATTGGGAGTAACTGAAAGTGTGCCTTCCACGCGTTCACACGGCGACAGGTAAGGGGGGTGCTCCACGCTTTAAGATATTGAAGCAAGCATCAGATACGATGAAATAAGCTCGCTTATAACTATTGATATACCTTAAAGTGCAAAAGACTGCTCTGGAGAACGCAATATCTTCGTTTGCTAACCATGCTCTTGGACACGCATGGTTTGATCACGTCATCGTGCCTTTATCAACATTGATTGAGAGCAAATTGACGACTGTTTTATCTGGAAATCGTGTTAATGAACGTCAGATATGAATGGCACGACAATTGCAATTTACTCGGCCTTGATCGCCGCATGTCCGCTAGAGCGGCAGGATTTGAATGACCTTGTTATAGCGTCATGGAAACCTTGTGACCCTGAGATAGTCTCTTTGAAATAGTCTGCATGTCTTCGCAGGCATGTGCCTCAGAATCTAGATGGTTGAGAAGGACAGGGAAGCAAACCGCACCGAATGATCTTCAAGTAAGCCATATCAGTTCAAAATCACGTACAAATGTGGACCACCTACCTTGAATATCACTCCTGTATCTCTGTTACAGCTGGAACGGATCTTATTATCTATTCCGAACAACGACTTTGGTATGAAGTGTGACATAAGTGTCAAAGTTTTACACACCAGCGTCATAACTGTGAAAATTTTAAAGCTTTGTTTCGAGGCATCGGAATAATCTTACATGTGATTATTAACATAAGTTTTGTCAAGGAAACGGTGCCCTCCTGCTGGAAGTGCGCCACTGGTATCTCCATTTATAAAAAAGAATGACAGGTCAAAATGTTCAAATTTTCGGTCAGTCTCTACCGTCCCAGCCATCTGTAAATACTTGCGAGACTGTTTCATCATCAGCTCACCTCATATCTCACACACCACCATCATTTCGGTTCGGACCAGCACGGCATCATGAAAAATCCTTCAACGTGCACGGCGCTCTTATCGATCTCTGGTGAGCTGTTGCGGGCCGTGGACCGATCAGAAATGGCAGATCTGAATCTGATCGACTGAGGACGTCGTCTCAGTGAAGTGGACAACTTAAGTTTGATAACAAAGCTATGTCAGTGCTAAAGGTTCACAGGCTGGATGCAAAGTTGCATGAAGGGACACACGCAGCGTGTAAGGCAGGATTAGACGCTGCCAGAACCAAAAAACATCACCACTGGCATATTCCAAGTATCTTGTCTCGGGCCACTGCTGCACAACATCTTCAGCAACGACATCGCGCGCTTCATCCCACCACACATAAACGGCTTTCGTGTCACAATAGTCCGCTACGCTGACGACGCGCAGCTGGTCATTACGGGTCCTCGAGTCAGATGAGAGGGGATGCAGCAGTCACTGGATTCAGTGCTGGACGTAACGTGCATGCGTTTTTGCAGGAAGGGATGAGTGCATGCGCCGCCAAAACCGAAATGTTCATGCGTGGCGACCGTCGACAGCTTATCCAAATCCGAAAGTAACCGCCCATAGTGTTCATTGATCAGGTGATATGTCAGAAACTGTACGATATCTAGGGATCGTAATGAAACCATCTTTGTCATATAGCTGCCACATAGACCACGAAGCAAACAACTGCATTGGCATCTTAAAAGGCACTACCAATGCTAAGCACTCACCTCCTCCAAACATATTATCCAGGGTCATCAATGCCTTGGTGCTGTACCCTGTACGCTATTGTGTCCAAATACATGGTAGTGCAAGTGGTTCGAACATTTCAAAACTGCAGAGAGTCTTCACCTTGGTTGCCAGGATAATCTCAGATGAATGAAAATATGATCACATATCGGTTGTGATCACTCGATTAGGCCGACCGTCCGCACACGAGCTTCATACTTACTTTAAACTCCGCCTGCTGCTCAGCATGCTGACCACTGGAAAGCCTGTTGTGTTACGCTCTGCGCTAATGCACAATCATGAGTGAGTGATCCGAGATACAAGGCAGCCACACCATCTGACCCTGCCTCGTGCGGAAAGCAGCCGCGGAAGAAGGCGATATATGTATCGCGCAGTGCAGCAGTACAACGAAAAGGCCATCACTTCAAGGTCTAGTTAATACCTTGAAG